CTCCTTCACCGCACTGTGCCTTATGTAGGGATCGTATAACTGTAGTTCCTCCAGGAGTTTCATATTGTCGATCGTCTCATCTTCATCGTGTTCAGAAGCACTGAAGGGGTTTTCATTTCATATATCTGAATAGATTTGTTTTTTTTAATGACAAAAAATTTCAGAGTATTTTTTGTTGTAGCAGTATATTTTTTATCTATGAATCTTAGGCCTCTGATAAAGATGATAGTTGTAATGAAGCTTTAATGAAGGTCTAAGACTGCTTCAAGTTTTATATCGGTCATAAAAAGTGTACCATAAAACATAATTGTATGTTTTGTTTTGGTTTTATTCTTCAGTTATAAGTAGTGATGCAGAACCACCATACAGCTACCGTTAAAATTATGAAGTCTGAGTTTTAATTTAGTAGTCATAAAACAGTTTTATAGACGACTTGACGGCCTGATTTTATGACAAGCACACAAAACCGTAATACAACCACAGGCTGGAAGGGATGCTATGATAAAACAATGATAAAATAAGAATAAATCTTCCAAGCATTTAGATTGTTACTTGGGGCTAGAAGCTGCCTGCGTAAAGACTACCACCATGTCAACTGGGTGCAGTACGGACGAATGGTGGACAGCAACATCGATGAAAACCCACTGCTCGACACTGTAGATGACATCGACCGGGCGTTGGAAGGACTCCAACAGACCATATCCGTGGCTGACGAGGCGTGTGTTCGACAAGTTCCTGTGAGGGGTAAGTTTGTTGCTATTGATTCCCACACCCAATTATTGATTCGGTTGAGAAATGTTCGTAGACGCCAGTTTCAGAGGACTGGAGATCTGGGCAAAAAACGTGAAACGGCCGATCTGAACAGGCAGATTGCTTCCAGAATGGACTCACTCCGAAATGAAAGTTTCGGGCGTGTTGTCCAGAATCTGGACGACCGCTCCAGACCATTCTGGAAGGTAGCCTAGGTCCTGAAAAATCATCCCAAACCCGTTCCACATCTCAAAGTCGAAAATGATGACGATCGGCTTTTAATTACCCCACAGGAGAAAGCAAATGCGATCAGCAAGCATGTCGCTTCATCGCATTTGCTTGGCTCGATTATCCAAAGTCCGCTCGATGATCAGGTTGCGCAATGCGTTCAAAACCTATATGTCTCCCCTTGTGTCGTGCCTCCGGCGGATATGATTACAGTACAACAAATTTGCTCAGCGCTAAAATGCACCAAGAACATGAAGGCTCCCGGGTTTGACGGTATATTCAACTTGATCTTGAAGAGACTCAGCATGAAAGTGCAGTCTCTTCTAACAGTTATTGTCAACAGATGTTTGGAACTGCACTACTTTCCAAGCATCTGGAAAGTAGCAAAAATCATACCGATCCGCAAACCCGGTAAGGATCCAACATTGTCTTCAAGCTACAGACCAATCAGCCTCCTTTCAGCGCTGAGCAAATTGTTCGAGAAACTCATTCTCAATCGTTTGCTCAAGTTTGTCGAGGAAAGCAACATTCTCCTTCCGGAACAGTTTGGGTTCAGAAAGGGGCACTCCACCAATCACCAGCTAGTACGGGTGATGAATAACATCCGAAGTAACAAAGCTGTATCCAAGTCCACAGCCATGGCCTTGTTAGACGTTGAGAAAGCGTTTGATAATGTTTGGCATGACGGACTTGTGTACAAGCTTTTTAACTTCAACTTCCAATTACATCTGGTGAAAATCACCCGTAACTACCTCCAGCAAAGGTCGTTTAAGGTATCGTTGAATGGTTGTCTTTCAGACACGTTTTCCATACCAGAAGGAGTCCCGCAAGGCAGTCTGCTGGGCCCCTTGCTTTACAGCATTTATACTTCCGACATTCTTCCCCTCGGTGACGGTTGCGTGTTTTTCCTGTTCGCAGATGATACCGCAATAGCCGTCAAAGGAAGGATGCCTCGCGAAATAACGAACAAACTTCAACGATGCCTTAACGCCTTTGCTGATTATGCCACCACGTGGAAAATCAAAATCAATGCCACCAAAACACAAGCGATCATGTTCCTCCATCGGCAATCGCCCAAACTGAAACCGGCTCCATCTTGTACTGTAATCATGGATGGCACAAGGGTTGAGTGGTCCGCCGAAGTAACCTATCTCGGGATGTTGTTCGATGAAAAGCTCCTCTTCCGTCCACATGTAGAGAAAACTGTAGTCAAGTGTTCTACCTTGGTTAGGTGTCTGTTTCCGCTGATTTGCCGCAGATCCCGCCTCTCAAGGGTGAACAAACTGGCCGTCTACAAACAAATCATAGCACCTGCGATCCTCTACGCAGCTCCGGTGTGGGAATCATGTGCACAGACTCACAGGAACAAAATCCAGGTCGCTCAGAATAGAGTGCTGAGGATGGTACTTGATCGTCCTTTTGACACTAGAATAACAAATTTACACGAAGAGGCAGGCATTGCCAAAATAGATTCCAGAATTAACGAAATTAAGACTAAATTTGCACAAAAATGTAATTTATCAGAACATGCTTTGATAAGCAATTTGTATATAGTAGATTAGGTGTATATAGTAGTTGTAGGTTAGTTGTAGTTGTAAATAGTAGTTATAAGTAGTCTCCTTTTTCAAATTTTCAAACAAACCAATCCCACCAAGGTGGTCATTCTCTAAAACAGGCCTGATAGGACTAAGTAATTAATAATAATTGAAATTTCACAGGAACTAAAGTTGAAAAGACGCATCTGTGTCACTTGATAAGTTATACATGTAAACCACACAAATTCAAGAAATATAGATCATTTAAGTAAAAAAAAAGTGCTTTTGCTCATTGTCGCTTCGGACGGCGTGGCGCTTGGTCCTGCAGTAAGCTGGACCAAATCAGCGGCTTAAGGTGAATCACGGCGAGACCACAATGAGGAAAAGCATTAATGTAAACCCCCTCCGCCCTTCACAACAATCTCTCGCCCCCCCCCCTCAACAACCTCTCCTAACCCCCCCCCCCCCCCCCCCCCCCAACAACAAAAAATAACCCGAAAGCGAGACAGACTTTGACGATCCCTTTTTTCCGGGAAATAAATTTTAAACATACCATCCTAGAAGGGACGAATATCAACATCACCCAACGGTTCTTTCGGAACCACAACATCAAACGGCCCTTTGAAGGGCCACAAATAAAATTAAAAGAGTTGATTTTAAACCCAGACAACCAGAATGCACGTATATTCAAAATTGTTTTCGTGATATACAAACGTATATACAAACAAACAATTCGTATAGAATGCAAAGAAATGGCTTATACGTACAAAAGTGGAGGCCATATACGTGCATATTTTAATTAAATTTTAAACGAGTTGATCTAACATCATATACGATTAAATCTGTAATAACATATTCATTTTGAAAAATCTTACGATTTAATCCGATTTCATTTGCGATACAGTACGACGGAAAAATGATTCATCGGATATAAATCGGAAATTTGCATTCTATACGATTTAACTTAAACATAATGCGAGGTATGTCATTCTGATATGCGATTTTGACTTAAACTGTAGCAATTAACGATATTGTCTGTATATTGTTATACAACTTCTGGTTGTCTGGGAAACTTAATTGCATATAATGGAAATTCAAATAGTTACCAGTGTCTACACCTAAATATGTAACGGCTTGTTTAGGACCATACATTTGAACTTTCATAATTTATTACATTCCAGGAAAAATACTTGAACCAACATTGAACACTAACAAAATTTCAAATATTGTTTTTATGTGTCCCACACATGAGTTGTTGCAACGTGATCAACAAATCAATATCTATGTGTCGGCCACATACTTAATATATGTACATATAAAAACCATGCGTGACCACACATACTATTCATTTGCGTGTAAATTTCATGTGTACTTCTGAGTGGATTCTGTTTATGTGTGGTCAAATGAAAATCATGTGGAATTTCACATGGATATTTGTCAAGAAAAATGTGTAAATTGTGTTGAGTCAACCATAACCGAAACATTGAAATACTTGAAAATTTTAAGATAAAGTATAATAGTCAAAAATGCATGAAAAACTTCAATTTTGTGTGGTTCTACGTCATACTGCGGTCGTGTCTAGGACACAACCCTTTACTTTTTTGCATGGAGCATAAATTATATTTGTATGGATCGTCACGATTTCCAACCCATTCCCCCCCCCCCCACCCATCTAACAGCGTGACATACTTTGTGCATGACCCCTAAGGGGTAGAGCCTATGGCAGAAAATGCAGAGCAAAAGAGAAGAGTGCGACAGTGGAGAGCAGAACCATTTATTTTGTGAACAATTGCTCGAATTTCGTGGCTCGAAATGAATGTTGGTAGCGTAGTTTGGGACGATTTTCGCCCATGAGATGAAATCGACAGTGGCATGCATAAGGGCCTATACGCGATGATCGATTCTCTTCGTCGATTTTCTCTTTTGTTAATAACTCGCTAGATTTAACGTTTCTCGGTGCGTTTGCTGTTGCTTTTGATAGCCAATACAACCTGTTACTACTCTGCATTGAACAAATTCTAGAAAATTGTTTCGCTTAGCTGTAGCAATGCAAAGAGAAAATCGATGAAGAGAATCGATCATCGCGTATTCGCCCTTATGCATGCTCACTGTCGAATTTATTATTTAATCATATTCAATAACTTTAAAAAAAAATGTGTTTGTGTTCCCGACATCTACAGGCACTGTAGGTAAAAAACGATCATGGATCCGTGTGTCTCAGTCAACACAATTACGTCAAATTTACGCTCGTCAACAGCCAAAAAGAACGATGATGGTAGATGTGCAAGACATGAGCTACTTGTGCACATTGCTAAATGGAACAGATCCGTTGTTGAACGCTGACTTCTTGTTGGACGGTGAAGGAGCTGCATACGATACGACTGGTAATTCAAACAGGCACCAGGCAGAGTAAATTCTACATTTACGAGATACTCAGGCTGGAGAACCCCAGGCGGTCATCGATTTTCGCTTACGAAAAAGAGATGGTAACATTCGATATAGCTTTTATTAGTATATAAACAATGGTTACTTCGAATGCATCAGTTGATTGCAAAGATTCGAACGGAAAGTTTATCCAGAGCGTGGTTGTGCAAATTTAGATTTTTGGTTCAACCAATGATCAATTCAATTTCCCATGTTGATGGGACAGTCTTATGAGAAAATTCACTGCAGCTTATGTATATTCGACGACTTCTGTATGCCTCGACCTACCCTTTTTCGTTTTCTCACGGAATCGATACGATCAATCGAAATGTTGATCATAAATAATAAAAATGAAATGAAGTGCATCAAATTAAAAACAAAATCAATGGGTATTATGAACAAACAAAAGTCCTAGTTTTGCCAGGTAAACATATTCGACTCGAAACGCCGAACAAAATATACACCGCCGAAATTACCACATACAGCAACAATTTGTTACCGTCTAGATTGCTGCAGCGGAGAGCAGCATTAATTTTACCATCTACCACCCCCGCCCCGGCCTCCACCACCGCGTCCACCATCCCGTCGACCAAAGGCACTCTTCTCTCGTCCGTCGCGATCTTTCTTGGCCGTAAACCTTTCAGCCATCTTCCGAATATCATCCGGCACATCCTGATCAGCCTCCTCCAAGATCTTGATAAGCTCCGATGCCACTGCCCAGTCGGTCCGAGTGAAGAAGCTCAACGAAATTCCACTCCGCCCAGCACGGCCAGTTCGACCCACTCGGTGCACGTATTCTTCAATATTGCGGGGAAAATCATAGTTCACGACGTGCGTGATGTCCTCAATATCGAGTCCACGAGAGGCCACATCGGTGGCGATAAGTATGCGCACGTCACCACTTTTGATATCTTCCAATGCCTGTTCGCGATCCGCTTGTTCCCGATCACCATGAAGACTCGTACAGTTAATTCCCGATAGGACAAACTCGCTCGACAAATCATCCGCCCGAGTTTTCCTGCCGCAGAAGATGATGGCTTTGTCATTTGGACCCATGTTCTTGACGAAGTTCATTACCCGCATGTACTTGTCGTCCTCGTCGATCACCTCGATCTGCTGCGTAACCGTGTGCGTGGCGGCGAGATCCAGCGTGCCCACATACACCTGGACCGGATTGTTCATGTAGCTTTGGGCAAGCCGACGTACGCCCGGTGGCCACGTTGCACTCGTCATGATGGTCTGCCGGTCAGGACGGATGTCCAGTAGAAGCTTCCGAATTTGCGGTTCGAAACCCATGTCCAACATACGGTCCGCCTCGTCCAGTACCAGGTAGGTAATACTAGTAATATCAATGACATTGGCGCTGACCAGATCATTCAACCGACCGGGTGTAGCGATGATGACATCCACTCCGGCTGAAACCTACAAACAGGAAAATGGAAATTTTATGGTTTGGTAAATGAATGATTTAAGTCTCCTACCTTATTGATCTGCGTTCGACGATCGCCACCGCCATACAAGCAAATTGCTTTGATACCGCGGAACTGATACTTGAACACCTCCTTCTCAATCTGTAGGGCCAGTTCACGTGTCGGTGCCATTACAAGCACATTCGGCCCACCACGCTGCCCACGCGGAACGGGTTGTCCTTCGATGTGGATGAACGCTGGAAATAGGAAAGCCAATGTCTTCCCGGTTCCAGTTTGGGCAATGCCGATCAAATCTTCACCCTTGAGCAGGACTGGCCAAGCTTGTGCTTGGATCGGTGACGGTTTAACAAAGCCCTGCTTCTTAATTTCCTCCAACAGCTCTGGGTAATTGTGGAAAGCTTGTTTAAATGATGTGATTGGATTCGGGATGGGAACCGTCACCTTATCCGCATCTTTGAACGTCCGATCGACGACGATGTTATTATTTTCCTCTCGGAAGGCGTTCACTTCGTCCGGGGTCATATTGGTTACTTCTGGCAGCTCGTTGTAGAAGTTTTTGATCAGCTGCGGACACTTAGCCCATTTCTGGGTTTTAGCTTCGTCACATTGTTTGTTCAGTGCATCCCAGTCGATCAACTCGGGGCTTTTGCTACGTTGGTCATGGTTATTCGTGAAGGTACTACCACTACTACTGCCACCGCCCCCACCGCCGAAGCTTCCGCCACCGCCACCACCGCCGAAGCTTCCTCCACCGCCGCCACCGCCGAAGCTTCCTCCACCATAGCTGGAACCGGAATTGTAGAAATCACGGCCTCCACGGTCACGATTATCGCGTTCAAAGCGACCGCCGCCTCTGCCGCCGCCACCACCAGCACCACGCTCGCCGAAATTGTTGGAACGATTGTTAAACGGTGCACCACCACCCCAACTGCCACCGCGACCACCACCCCTTTCGCCTCTGTCTCCTGCCCCTCCTCCTCCTCTTTCGCTTCTGTCTCCTCCTCTGGAACTATTCAGGACGCTGAAAATAGCATCGCGGGCGCGGGTTACATCACCCGAGTATCCTTCGATATGAACCGTGGAACGACCGTTACCGGGAATGGAATCATCTGTATGGGAAGAACACAAAACATTCAACAAGACTGCGTCGATCTCCGGATTGGTGGAAAAGTGAAAAGCCTGACTGACTTTGATTTGTAGCAGTTATCAGATCCCACTAACTATGCGAATATGACTCGAAATCTACAAATCAGGACAGGTCCGAAACCGATCCCAACTCTTCAAAAATAGATGTGCTGTACCCAACAAGGTAATGCAAATCGAGTGATTCTAAATTGCCCTACATTTACTGTTTGCGACTTAAAACCGTGCTGAAAGATTCTATCAGAGGCATGTTAAAATAGACACACACAGGCCATCAGTCATCGCTCAAAACCCACACCCTCTCCGTCTTCCCGGCACTTACCAATCTCAACCTGCGCCCTAGACTCCGAGCGGATCCTCTTAATAGTCGAACCTCCTGATCCGATGATCTTCGAAACGTTTCGCGTAAATATCTCAAATGAGGTTCGTTCCTTGCTATTTGCGACACCATTAGTGCCGAATCCTCGTTTAGCACTTGTTTGCCGACCGACGGCAGCTCCTCCGTCGCTCACCTCATTATCCCAATCCTCGTCCATCTTTGAAACTGCAAGAAAAAAAAAATGTGAACTTCGCAAGAAAAAAAAATCGTCGCTTTTCCTTGGTTACACACCTTTTTCCTCTTCACAAACTGCTGGAATAACTTTTCACCGGAAGCCAAAATGGGTCTCTCAATCCGCTGGCTTCTGAACTTGCGCTGCTATCGGTCAAACGCCGCGGACACAAAAACGAAAATCTGTTCTCCGAATGATCGGATAATACAATAGCTCGTGGCTCGTCGTGGAAGTGGAGACGGACGGACGACTGCAAACTGCAAATTAAGCGCTTCCTTCTCTGGATGAAAAAGTGCTTACTCGCGTCTGCGAAACATGGCGGACTTCACAGCTTCACGCACAAAATGACAGTTCCTAAGGGGATTTTGGCCTGGAGTGAGTGAGTAAGAAACAATGCGCCATGTTTCAAGCACAGTCCGACAGCAGTTTAGGGGATGCTCCCACATGAGTAAAGAGCTATACAGAAACTTCGTAGGAATGAGTATCCAATGAACTGGATTACCGAGGTGAAGCCATCGGTTAAGTTGTGTGAGTGAAACCCCGGTATGTGTGTGATACAAGCAATTAGTGACGTCACTAATTGCTTCTACTTTTTTCTCTTTATTTAACGTCGGTCTCTGTTCCGCAATCTAGTGCCAATCACCGACGGACATCGATTGCCATCCATAGACGGAAATCGAATGTGCAGGAAGGCAGCTTCCATACCTGCCTAGGATATCGCATCCATTCATCAACACACATGGGCCGTAACCAACGACTTTACTTCCCTTTCGAAGGAAGACGTGACCAGCGATTTTTGTACCTCAGAAAAATCCCACCGACCTCGGCTGGGATTGAACCCAGACCCATTGGGGTGATAAAGTAGGGTTGCCGCTACACCACCGGCGCCGGCTATCACTAATTGCATTTACGTTGAGTTTTTGGTTTACTAATACAACTATATTTCACGATCTGCTGAACCTCTCTCTGTACTCATTGATGAGTATCGACAACTTTCTACGAAAAAAGAGGACAGAAGGTGTTGTTGCTTTTTTTTTCTGGCACACACCCACCAAACGATTATCCACGCGAGCAAAAGAGAAGGGTACGAACTTTTTCTTTGTAATAATCTAGACAGGTTAGGCTGTAGAAAATTGTCGTCTCTGTTTTTCATTGCCGTTCGTATGTAGCATGCTTGTGGTAGAGAAAAAGGAAAGTGCGGCGACAGAGGTACACTGCCAGACCAGTTTCTCCGACATACGAACGTCGTGAACGTGAATGAGATAGCTACTTGGTCATTACGCTCAGTTTGTTCCTTTCCTTGGCGTTTTCGCGCACAACGAAAGTTTGGTGTGCGCTCTCATTTTTCCCCCGCGGATTCTGGATTGATGGCGGGACCGCGAGGCATTCGGCGGGATAAAAGGGGCACGTTCTCAATATCACCAAAGTTCTCACACACACACACCTGCACAAAAGTTCTGGAGTTCTTTAAGCCCGGTTTAGACGAATGCAATTCGACGTTCAACCACTAGTTCAACCATTTATTAATTATTTATGTATATATTTGATTAGTTCAACGGCTTTCTTAGTCTTAAGCGAACCCCACACGGTAAGAAATTTGTCAATACTTACAAGTATTGACAATAATATTGATGATGTGAATACAGCAATATTGTCAATACCGATGTATTGACGTCAATATAAAATGTATTGACAATACGATTATTGTCAATACAAACTGTCGTGTAGGGTCCACTTTAAGCAAACCCCACACGCATCAATATATTGACGCGAAGGGGAATTATTGACAATAATTTTGATGATGTGAATTCAGAAATATTGTCAATCTCGATATATTGACGTCAATATAGAATGTATTGACAATACGATTATTGTCAATAAAAGTAATCGTGTAGGGTCCACTTTAAACACTCTAACGACTACGATGTAATCTGTCCGACGATTCGGCACAGTACAGATGGGGAACTTCGGATCAGAAAGTGGCTCTACGGTTAGAAAATAATACCGAGCTCGGCTAATTTTCTACCGAACCAACGAGAAACCGAATATGTAAATGGTTTAATAACATTTTTCAGGCGTATTTATCGAATCAGACCCGAATTTTGGTAAAATAGTATAAATATGTCGGATACAAATGAAGGCTGAACCGAAAAGTACGGTAAAGTATCGACATTTACGAATTCGGTACGTGGAAATCGAGAAACTCAGTACGTTAAACTGAACCGAATATTCTCTAAAACGTGTTATACTCGGTGTTAAACATCAAACGCTTAAACGTCAAACGTTCCACTTGCGCTCAAATTCACGACGGAAATTTTAGCCGAAAACTCGGTTATCTAAGCTGAGTCTAAAACTAGTCAGCCATTTTTTCTCGCGTATGCTCGTCGGACGTGTGCAAAAAATCAGTGGATCCACTCTTCATTGGCGAACACTAGCACATCAGTAGCGGTAGAAGGCATCTTTTGCATGCAGTTAACATAGGCAGCATGCTATGATAGTGTGAGTGCACATACACACTTAGATTTTTTTTACCGAGATGGGCACCACCGAGCAGCTCGGCATTTTATTTTGTTGTATCTCAGTGAAAAAATTGCCGAGATTCAGCTAACAAATAGGAATTTTGCCGAGATCTCAGCTTACAAACATAATTTTTGCTTAATCTCGACAAGTTTTTCACTGAGATCCAGCAAATTAAAATGCCTAGCTGCTCGGTAGTGCCCATCTCGGCAAAAAAATCTAAGTGTGTAGAAGCCCGTGTGGAACGCTACCACAACGCATCGCTTGTTGAGCAGAAAAGCAGAAAAACGAACCACTTTTTAATCCACGGTTAGTTTGCACTTCCATTTCTGTTCTGTGGTTTCTGCCATGGGTTGTGACCTTTTTCAAGGGAAAATATTGTCTGTTGTTATTGTCAATAGTTTAGTGGGTGTTGTGGTTGATTTTTACTTATTTTCGTTTCATTTAATGATATTTAAGGGATGATTTTTATTTTTTAATTACCTTTGTCCTCTGTGGTGATCGAAATTGTGACCAAGTAGTGTTCCCTTGCAAATTTCTATCGGGAGTGGTCTTATTTTTCAATTATCTACAGATCTGAACTGATTTACAGTTCAAGTAACCATATACAAAATTAAAAATTCGGAAGATCATAACCGCTGGGACAATTTTATAAATCTTAATCTTTCTCTCATCAAAAATATATGAAAGCACCAGTCTGATCACTGCAAAATCGATACAGAAAACAAAATATTACACGTGGATGACGATTGCAAGCACCTGCCGTGGGTAAATAAATCAGGAAAGGTGAAAATATTATCTTCTTCCTATATGCTCCACGGTGAAAATTTCCGCCCTCATCACTCTTTTGAGGGTTCCCCTATTCACCGCCAGACTGCCATACACTGTACCAAAACATCGTCCTATGTTCGAATGAAACCTCAGACCATTCACCATTCACATCGAAATCACTTTTTTGAATTATAGCAGCAACCGCATCAATCGGTTGTTTTGTAATCAGATCATGCTCCGCTCGAACACAGGATGAAAATTGATACGAGAAACGAATGGACCTCATTTGAAATACGTAATGCCATAGAAGTAATGGTAATGCTCTCTGTAGAATGATTGCCACCCCAAAGTGAAATTCATATGGTATTGGTTCAGCCCCATAACGCAAATCATACAGAACGATGATGTAATTAATTCTATCGAACGTCATTTGGATCTGGGCTGACAAACGAGGTGGAAACATAGCCATCGCTATCAGAGGTGGTACAAATGTTGGTAAAGCACGAGGGGGGCGACACATCTAAATCTCAAGTTTAGATGCTCAACAAATCTCACACTAGCGAATCAATCTTCGAACAATCTTCTTTCATTTGTCACATCTACTTGCATCGCTCATCAAGTTTTTGCAGGAAATCTTCAGAATCGTCATCAATCTTCTTTCTATCTACTCAGCGTGCGCACAGGTAGCTACAGCAAAACACAATCTTTTATGCATCGTAGATAGAGTCGTCCCCCTCGGTAAAGCATGGAAACCAAAGATTTCCGTGGAAGAAGTTTTCTCTACCAACAAATGATTTTTGTATCCATGACTGTTCATGGCTATTCAGTATGAAAATTTAAGAATTGAATTATAAATCTAATTTAAAATTCGCAAGAAAATTATAATTAAACTGTTGTCCTCCGAGCGCTGCATGTTTTACAGCCAATTTTTAAATAAATTTCATCCTTTATTTGGATGACAGACATATTGATGCTCATCAGCTGATGACGAATTCAATCATAAAGCCTCGCATAAAGCAACCATCCGGAATTCGAAAGCATATTGTTAAAGGGCTCGAGCAATGCAATAAACATTCGAAGTATTACCATAGAGGTAACTCTAAGACCAGAAGGTCCCGAAGAAACGAGCTCAACTTTTTGGCTCAGCTCTGGTACTATCTTCGGTCCCAAGCTAATCGATTCACCCCTCGAAACACCCATTAAATCCATTAACCCCTCATTTTATCTGTCAAACTTTCATAGCAAATCAAAACAAACATAGTGTAGTACTAGAATTTCGACTAGAATGGGGTACGTTAATCGCTTTGCTTGGGACCAATAGGCTAGTCAAGTAGTGAGCCAATTCAAAATCGTTAGTTTCGTATTGATTGTTGGTATTACGGACCATACAAAAATCTTTTTTTTTTCTCGATCAAATGTGATCTCATTACAAAAAAATTTAATGTTTTTATATGTTTGAGAGCTTTGAGAGATGTACCACCAAAGTAGAGGGAGCCAGACAAGTTCGAGAGAAAACGCAAACCGTTCGTTTACATCAGAATATGGATTTTTCACAACGCAAATTAAAGTATTTTTCATTGAACATTGTGGTGCCCTCTACTCTGGGCAACAAGCATGCTACATGACTATGGTCTTATAAGCCAGACTAGCTGCAACGAGAGAGTGACTACACAGCAAAAAAAATGTAATATCGATCAATGTAATTCAAGCTGATGTATGAAATAATGATGTAAGAGCAAAAAGCAGATACAATATTACATCAATGGATGTAATTTTGTTCGCAAAATCGATGTACATAGTACAACCACAAACGAAGTGACAGACGACTAACTGGCGAAGAAATCCATTAAAATAATGTGGTTCAGTGTAATAGAATTTTCTTGGAAGCTTGTGCCATCATCCACCAGATGGGTTAGTTTTTTTGTTTTGATTTGAACAAAGTTGATTTTGTGTACAGTGATTCTTTGACAGTGTGCAA